CTGGTGTCCCCGCTGGGATATTGCTGGAATATGCTAAAAGCGGCGTTAAGCCATACTCACTCACTCAGTAAATAGAGGTGACTGAATGGGTTCGATCGCTGACTGAATGTCAGTGAGGGTTCGAATCCCGGATGGGACTCAACCTAACAAAAGTACTAGAATCTACTTTACGCCCAGTTATAACATCTGTTTCGTTTGACTACTTTGTAAAGGGCTTTGTGTATTCATGCTGTGAATATTACGTCACAGTGAAGATAAGAGTAATGATTATGAACATATGTTTCACCCAAGCACGAAGGCGGTATTCAATGACGTAATAACGTAGATACCTATCTCCCGCATAACGTCACCTTTATGCGTTGTATAACCGCAACGATATAACAATATTGGAACCACTTCCTTGATAAGGGCATTCTGATGTTATCACCATTTATAATCCAACTGCCACGTGTATCTTAGTCAGCTAGGTTTTATCCCATATTGATCTCTTTCAGTGGCATTTTAGAAGTTATGAGTACACTATTGACAGACTTTGTGGATAACGATTTCTTTTATTTCGTGAGTGTATTTCGATACAGATTCTTGTACCGTTGTCAAAAGGGGCGGTGGGGTCGCCTAGTGGTTGAAGCAGTCGCTCGTCATGCCGAAGACCCGGGTTCGTCCCTACGTGGGTGCAATGTGTGAAGCCAATTTCTGGTGTTCTCCGCCGGGATATTGCTGGAATATTGCTAAGAGCGGCATAAAACCCAACTCACTCACTCACTTACTTTACGAGGGTGTTAGTCAGTTTGAGTGTGAGGCTTTAACCATAAGGCTACCCCACCGCCCTCGCTCTAGAGCTACAACTTAGGCTACAACTACCGTAGGCCTGTTTTAAATTACTGGAGTTACCATCACTTTAGCGCTGAGATCGCTTCATGGAACAGGGCTCTGTACCACAGAATGTAACATGCATGTATGCCATGTCTCACCTACCCGTGAAGATCCGGGTTAGAGATCGGGTGGGCATGCTCGCTGACATGGTTGTCATATGTCATCGTATCCCAATTTCGTAGATCGATGCTCATGATATCAAACACAGGATTGTCTGGGCCAGATTCGATTATTTACAGACCGCCGTCATATAGCTGGAATATTGCTGATTGCGGCGTTAACCAACCAACCAACCAAACAAACAAACAAACAATTCTACGTACATCAGAGCCCACGTTGACAAAACTATTTTAGCCCTACAATTATTGTAATGTTTTTAGATCGTGATCTTCAGCTTCGACTGCAGTCACCATCCACTCGAATAAATCGACTGTATGATAAGATCAGTGTATGCACCATCAGTATTAAGTCGCTGAGGTCAGTGTAGATTTGAGTGAGTGAGTGAGTTTGGTTTTACGCCGCTTTTAGCAATATTCCAACAATATCACGGCGGGGACCTACAGAAATGGGCTTCACACATTGTACCCATGTGGGGAATCGAAGCCGGGTCTTCGGCGTGACGAGCGAACGTTTTAACCACTAGGCTACCCCACCGCCCGGTGTAGATTGACATTTGTAAGCGGCCAAAGTGGATGTGAGCAAAATCGTTTTAGGATACAATTGCACCTTTTAAATAAACGCCTAAGATGTGAGGTTTTTCTCCCTAATCAAGTTTACAGGGTATAACTAAAATATACAGTTCATACCTCACTCGCTTATGTAGGTAACTTCACGGGAGGAGCTTTCAGGCAAATTCTCCCTCCCAGTCAGTCAGTCAGTTATCCACCCACCCACTCACTCACTCACTCATGGTGAGGGTGTAGCCGATGCACTGTGAAATTGTATTTAAATCCCACACTCACCTGAGCGCGTCCCTCGTCCTATAATTCTGACGCCTTTGGCACTGCGTTAAACAATACTTCGAGTTTTTAATGTCTTAAGAAAGATACCAAGCTTTTTTTTATGGTTAGGAAGTAGAATTTGTTACCATTGTTTATGGTAAGGAGGTAGAATTTTCTAACTGAAATATATTTCTTTAATTGGTGAAATGTTTCACAATCATTTTCAAGACTTAGTCTACAAGGTGAAGCTTGGTTCCTTGGTATTCCTTCTTTGGTCAGTCTAATGTTGGGTCGAAACTAGGCTAACTCGAAGTATTTACGTAGGTCACTTCAACCTCGGCTAACTCGAAGTATTTACGTAGGTCTCTTCAACCTCGGAAAACTCGAAGTATTTACAATGGTCTCTTCAACCTCGACTAACTCGAAGTATTTACGTAGGTCACTTCAACCTCGACTAACTCGAAGTATTTACATAGGTCTCTTCAACCTCGACTAACTCGAAGTATTTACATAGGCTACTTCAGCCTCTTCTAACTCAAAGTATTTACGTAGGTCTCTTCAACCTCGGCTAACGCGAAGTATTTACGTAGGTCTCTTCAACCTCGGCTAACTCGAAGTATTTACGTAGGTCTCTTCAACCTCGGCTAGCTCGAAGTATTACGTAGGTCACTTAAACTTCGGTTAACTCGAAGTATTTATCTTAGCCACTTCGGCTGGCACGATGTTTCATCGTATTAAGGGATATTGTGTTGCACTGCAATTGATTTCATATTTAGCATTTAGACCAATAGGTATTTAACCAAGGTGGTATTTAACCCAGTGTTGTTGAAGCACATACCAATTGGGATTCCATGTGGGTCATTCCAGTTAGTCGACCAATTATATGTTAATCAACATATAATTATATGTGCGAAAAAAACACACTATTACAACCGATTATATTCATTTATAAAATGTTCACCTATGTTTCAAACCGTTTGAGTGTGAAGCATAACAATCTTATTGGTTTCTTTATAAAGTGCCCATTTCTGGTATCGCTGGAATATTGCTAAAAGCAGCGTTAAACCATACTCACTCACTCACCCAGTCAACAGTCGCCATTACAAGTTTATGATCACATGCATCTTCTGTGTTTGAAAGGATACAAAAACGATGTTCCGTCATTCGATCAAGACGGGAACCTTCCATTCAAATCCACAAATGACTGAAATACAATTGAAATTAGAACACTGTTTAAACTTTCATTCCCTCACTCACTTTTTATAGAGCCACAAATGACATTAGAACACTGCTTGGGGTGACACTTTCATTCACACACGTTTTATAGAGCCACATTAGAACACTGTTTGGGGTTAAACTTTCATTCCCTCACTCACTTTGTATAGAGCCACAAAAGAGATTTGAACACTGATGAGCAACACAATCAGTTGTTGTATTAACGAACAATTATATCTACCAGTTTCTTGAAACCCCTTGACACCACAAGAACCGTGAAGATCCGTCATATAATTGGTTTTTGTGCCTGTGGTTGGAGGCGATTGACGGGATCGGGTGGTCAGGCTCGCTGACTTGGTTAACGCATGTCATCGCATCCTCAATGCACAGGTCGGTGCTTATGATGTCAGTCACTGGATTGTCTGGTCTAAAATCCATTATTTACAGACCGCCGTCATATTGCTGGAAATAATTGCTGGGGTGCGGCGTTAAACAACAAACGAACAAAACAAGATGTGTTACCCTAAATACTGGAATACAGTGCTTGTCTCTAATAGATGATATGCACAAACTCAGGCAAACCCTTGGCAATGCTCCGTTAAACTAAGCGATTTTAATCGTACATTTGATCTAAGGCCAGCAGCAGCTTCACGTTCATCGGATCTGTCATTAACACACAATGGTTGGCGTTAAGCACCAGCGTATTGTAGAATATATCTGGAAATTTAGCCAAGAGAACTCGCTCTACATAATCTAGGTTTGTTTACCTCATTAACAATACATCTGGTTTAATTAATGTTATCTCCATAGCTTGTAATTAGAGCGGTCTTCTATCATCTGTCAGACCAAAATAGAAACAGGACCCTGACAGTCAAACCGTTGATACTCCCCTCAACAGGAAAAGACTTTACATCGTAAAGGTGAGGTGAAACTGGGTTTCCGTCGCGATGAAGGAGTAACCATATACTCCTCATAACAGAGAACTTGACATCCATAGAAACTCTCTTAAATGCCATTCAAAGACCACAAACGTGTTTAGTCTCACAGAGAAGTCAGAATTGACAAGTAAGTGGAGAGGTAGCCTAGTGGTTGAGGTATTCGCTTGCTACTCCTATCATGGTTCGACTCCTAACATGGGCATGTTATGCGTTAGATCTAATGTTTGTGTCTTCAGTCTTGGCTTGAATATTTTAGAAAGTGGTCAATAGTTCATTTACCACTGGAAGTATATGCGTCCGTGGTCCTACTCTGGTGACCCTGAAGACCTGGGTTCGATTCCCCACATGGGTACAATGTGTGAAGCCCATTTCTGGTGTCCCCCGCCGTGATATTGCTGGAAAATTTCTAGAAGCGGCGTAAAACCATACTCACTCAATCCTTGTGTATGTAGGCTGATCATGGGGGTAGTCAAGTTGTTTTCTAAAGGCGTGCATGTTCTTTGTGTCTTTGATTGCGTGGAACAACTCTCATTCGCTTCCCATTCAGTAAGCGGTGACTGGAATTTGGAGTCAAGTCGACCACAGCAGCTGAATAGGGGAAACAACTCCCCCAGAGAGCTACTCATTGTGACAGTGTCGATACATTGTAACAAACACAAGCGTATCTTGGACTACACCGTCATACAGACGATTGCGGCGGATCCAGTATGCCGGAAAGCCACGAAAGCCGATTGAAACGTGAGATCCAAGAATGTCTTCGACTTCTACTATTTCAGAATGATTGAGCTGGGTTTTACACCGCTTTCAGCAATATTCCAGCGACACCAGAAATGGTCTTCATACATTGTAAACATGTGGGGAATCGAACCCAGGCCTTCGATCGAACGCATTCACCACAAGGCTACCCCACGCCCCGATTATTTTAGAGATATCATTTCTAAGTCACACAGAAATAACATAAAACGATTTTTTCTTCAGTAATGAAGACTGGTGTATTCTTGCTGATTAAAATTACTAGAAAATAGTTTTCAACAATTTACAATTACCATGCACCTGACGCGCAACAAGTACATATATACACATGATGGTATTAGTCTTAGTTCATTAGCGCATCTTCCGGGTCTGCTTTGTAACAGAAACAAGTTTGGTTCCTGGGATTGGTTTCTTGGCAACAATTTGACCCTGCTTAGAATTGTTAGCCACAAGTCCACCAGCATTCTTAATGATGTTCTTATTTCCTGTTGTAACCTTGACCTTGATTAGGTTATCCCCTGATGCGCGCAGATCAGGCTTGGCACTGATGGTATTATATGGAACATTGTTCTTAGATCGTTCTGTGTAGGGTCTGTGTACCTTCTTCGGCTGAACTGGAGGAGCTACGGTGTAGAGACTGGGCTGTGTCTTGCCTGGAGTTTGACAGGTCAGTTGAGCAGTGTGGCGCTGGAGGGTTGACAGTTCATGCACAGAAAGCTGATGGTGTGACTTCAGCTGCTTCAGCTCTTCCTCCAGCTTCTTCCTCTGTTCCTCCTCCGCCTTCTTCTCCGTCTCCCACGTACCCGCCAGTTCCTCCAGTGTCATCTTCACTTCCCGGAGCTCGGCCTGCTCCATTGTGAAACTTAGTTTATAATTATAATAGTCCAGTCGGAACCGTTGTCTCTCGGCCTCGGCCTTCAGCCTCAACTCTCTCTCATGGCTCAGTTCTCGCATCTGTCGCTCATTGTCTTCTCGGAGTTTCTTGTTTTCGTTCAGGAGATGATCGAGGAGGCTGAAGGAGAAATATGTTTGCATTGAAAAGGAAACTGTTCAGTTGTGTCAGTGTAAATAGATTATCAAAACCATGACATTATAAAACTTTGTTGCAACACTTTTCGGATGTGTACAGGCGCAATACTAGGCGTGAATAATCATTACTCTCCGTGCACAACAAATTTCTAAAATAAATACCATAGTCCTCTAAGAAGCGCCCGGGCGCTTATTTTTTCAACGGACTTCCAGACTCGGCGCTTATTGGAGACCCGGCGCTTATTGCGCTTACTGGTTGTACCGTAATTAATTGTTAGTGAGCGTTACCTGAAAGTTAGGTACCATTTCTTAATGAATTTATTTTTGGATCAAGGGAGAATACATTTATAAAAAACGTACCCAGTGCATACTAGAGGCCCGGTGCTTATTTCTTAAACCGCTGCTTAACCCTTAACGCTTATTAGAGACACGGCGCTTATTAGAGGAGATACGGTAGGCTGAGATATGATCTGGATATATGTTCAGATTTTCGAAGCTCTCTTAGCGCTAAGATAGTCGTAAGTGCCATTCATTAACATTAACTTACGACTATCTTAGGCGCTAAGAGCTTCGAAAATCTAGGCCCTGGACAGTTACCTACAGCAATGACTAAATTCCGGCGCAATTTACATGATGAAAAATGGGGATTATTTTTGTGGATATACAACTTCTTTATTCTATGTAGGCGACGTTTCGACAGATTCTAATGTCGTTGTCAAGCAAGTGGTCGACATTAGAATCTATGTCGAAACGTCGCCTTTATAGAAAAAAGAAGTTGTATATCCATAAAAATAGTCCTCATTCTTCATCTACCCAACTTCTAGAATGCCAATCCAAGAAGTCAATTTACATGATTTTAATACCATAGCATATAGACATTCGAAAATCCCAGAATTAGAAATAATAGCTTGTAATAAGTTTAATGTTTCTGTTTAGGATGAATACCATGTACTATTGATCTGTCCACGCTATAACTATGAACTAAGATATAAATATGTACCTGCCTACTATATTGAAAACGTTACTTATCGAAAATGTGTCCAACTTTATAGACCCCTGAAGATGCGGGGTAGAATAGGTCTTCAGCAACCCATTCTTGTCATAAAAGGCGACTATGCTTGTCGTTAAAGGCGACTGACGGGATCGGGTGGTCAGGCTCGCTGACTTGGATGACACATGTCATCGGTTCCCAATTGCGCAGATCGATGCTGATGCTGTTGATCACTGGATTGTCTGGTCCAGAGTCGATTATTTACAGACCGCCGCCATATAGCTGGAATATTGCTGAGTGCGGCGTAAAACTAAACTCACTCACTCACTCCAACTTTATATCATCTAACAATGTTGATATCACTCATAAACTTGAGTGTTCACACATAAGATATTCCATGTATCCCTCTGACCTGGTGTATGTGTGTTACAATGTGGTACACAAACAACATTCATGCTGTATATGAAATTTAAACACCTTGTACTATTGGCCTTTTGGACACCTATAGGTAATACACAAATTGACCATTTGATTGATCTGGCATAAACTAATAAAGAATTAAAGTAAATGGGGTTTAATGTCGGGCTGGAGATTATTGGACTTATATTGTGACTTGCATGTACAGACGGGTTCGCGTGCGTGAGTGCGATGGTTTCGGAAGTGGTTGAAATGGACAAGCTGGGGGAATATCCTATCAGCGAAGACATAGTGTCATCTCTAACTTTGAATTAATTTAGACCCGTGAAGATCCGGGCTAGAACTGGTCTTCAGCAACCCATGCTTGTCGTTAGAGGCGACTAACGGGATCAGGTGGTCAGGCTCGCTGACTTGGTTGACACATGTCATCGTATCCCAATTGCGTAGATTGATGCTCATGATGCTCATCACTGGATTGTCTGGTTCAGACACGGTTGGGGGCGGTGGGGTAGCCTAGTGGTTAAAGCGTTGGCTCGTCACGCCGAGGATCCGGGTTCGATTCCCCACATGGGCACAATGTGTTAAGCCCATTTCTGGTGTCCCCCGCCGTGATATTGCTGGAATATTGCTAAAAGCGGCGTAAAACTAAACTCAGTCAGTCAGTCAGACACGGTTATTTACAGACCGACGTCATACAGCTGGAATATTGCTGAGTGCGGCGTTAAACAACAAACAAACATATTTGATGTTTATCGTGGTCAAGTGGACAGAGCAGAGGGTCTGCCCGAGAGTGTAAGGTCGCAATTGACATGTGTCAACCAAGTCAGCGAGCAACCGATCCCGTTAGACAATAATCAAGAGCGAAGAAGACTCACCTTTCCTCCAAATCCCCGACCTGAGATCTCAGCTCCACATACTGCACTGTAAACAAACAAGGAGCGTTGTATATATATTTCGACATCATGTCAGTTTTGTTAAAACGTGTTTGCTTTCAGTCACTGACAATGAAGTAAATCTAATATTCACAAAACATACGTTTTTTCACAGCGGAAAATACGTCATACAGATCTAGTATTTCAGATATTTCCTGTTGAATTTAAGAGCATACATACACTGGCGACGTACCAAGTAAATTTTCCTTTTGTGCAGGTGTAAGGTTTGGTTGATTTGATTCCCTCTCCGCCGACTCCGGAATTGGAGAGAGAAGCTTCCGACGTTTCAACCGTTCTTGGGGGTTAACGATCATCTGAAGACGAATATTAATATGCAACTACGGTGATTGAGTGAGTATGGTTTTATGCCGCTTTTAGCAATATTCCAGCAATATCACGGCGGGTGACACCACACATTGTACCCATTTGGAGAATCGAACCCGGGCCTTCGGCGTGACGAGCGAACGCTTTAACCACTGGGCTACCCCACCGTACCATGCAACTATCTGCACATTATATGATATAAAAATCGTAACACTGAAACAGCTTAAATGTTTCTGAGAAATATCTTCGAACCTCGTTGCGTCGAATTTCATTCTTGTATTGGATACATAAGACCTCGAAATGAGTTCGAACTAGCCGGTTATTCGACACATCCTGTGCGGCAAATATAAATAATGATGACAAAACAGATAGGAATTTAATGGAATCGGAAGGTGAGTTCGCGACAACCCGGAAATTAACATCGATTTCGACACACAGAGATTCGACTGTCATAATTATGCGTTTGTGTTTTTTTGCTAAACGCCGCACACGGTTGGCGGCGGTCTGTTAATAATTGAGTTGGGACCAGACCATCCAGTGATCAACAGCACTGGTTCAGTCATAATGAAGCCGATAACTTATTGTTCTTCCAGGCAACATCCATTCCGTTAAAACCAGCTAATATCATCGCAACAAATGATCAATGCAAATAATCATATTTACCTTATAGACAAATTGAACCGTCAACAGAAACGATCTACAAAGTTTCAAATGAGCATCAAATGTACGTCTGTTCACTGTGATATCGTGAAGGCGACTGGTGACTTGACCAAAAGAACGTCGTCATGGAACCATTCTATGACGTCATCACATTGTTCTTGTCTATGACGTCGTCTGAATATACGCTTTTCACCGAGATCTGTAACTTTCATATTGTAAAAATGACTCTATGAACGATGGCAGACTCCATCACAGTGATGAAATTGTGATGTGTGGTCACAAATCAGTTTAAGTTAAGCATCGTTGGTCGTGGAGAGTCATTGGATGGGTGATCGTGTTTGGCAGTTTAAAACTGACTCCTGAGAGTTCTAGCACTTCTGCCGTGCCTTACAACGAAACACATATGGCCTCACCTTGGGCAAATTTCCTTTCTTTACATAGCAGAAAATGGGTACCCGGTGGGATAGGTCATATGCCACATAGGCAGCTTGGGTTACCCGGGGTAATAATGCCAATTATGTTGTATGTATTCCCGTGCAGCGGGAGTTCAGAGCTATGTAAGTAGCCTATATTGTTCATTATAACTCATGGTTGACCTCCAGGTACCCAAGGTAGGAGAGAAAATCATTGCCGGTTCGCATGCTACATGTGACGATGGTTTAGAAGACTGAAACACCTTTAATTTATTACTCATGTACAAAAATAAATAGTATTCGATTTCTATTATTCACTAATATGACAGGAATGGATTTGTGTTAGAATTTACTTTAACTGTACAGTATGAAGCGGTGAACTTCTTTTCCAGACGTGTACTTTTTTATGTTGTTTTCAGTGTTTATGATTGCAAAATAACTCACTGTTTTACTCAAAAGTATACTCGTTTTAAATTTGAACATGATGGATGATTCAAAACGTGCAGTGGAAAAAACAAACTAAATTGTTCTTCCGATGTTTCTTCTTTTCAAAAATAGACAAAGAAGCGAAAAAAATATATATGCTTAATTATGTTCTGTTTGTGACTAAACATCGACGACGACAAAAATGCCTCGGGCTGATCAAGCAGATTGTGTGTGTGTGTGTGTGTGTGTGTGTGTGTGTGTGTGTGTGTGTGTGTGAGAGAGAGAGAGAGAGAGAGAGAGAGAGAGAGAGAGAGAGAGAGAGAGACACACACACACACACCACCACCACCACCACCCCCACACAAATTTTATTATTTTTTAAGTTGAAATGCGATTATGTGAGACCCAATGTGGTGCATTACATGTATTCTTACCAACACCTCATTATTGCAACGATCACACGTGGAGCTGAATAAAACGAGCTATTCATTCATTGATTCATTGTACACCTGTAATCATTTTCATCAACTGTTTCGAACAGGGCGCATTTGTGTTTGAGCATCTAACAAGTCGCAGCCCCTTTGACTGGTTCTCAGCGGTGTTTGAGCGAATGGATGACTTTCAAAACGGCGCAACTATAAACGAAACAACAGCTGATGTCATCAAGTAAGTTGGTTTGTATTACAGGATTTCAAAATTTACAGCTTTACCCAGTATAAAGTGATCAAACTAATTGTTTACCCTGATATCACGGCGATATGAAGCGACACCAGAGGCGTGAAGAGACATTCACCAGGATCAACTTGTTTGCACTGACATCACAATGGTTTAAAGCGATTGAATCTTGACATTAAGAGCAATGTACGCCTTTGGGACATCTGTCATACAGACCCTAAGACAAAAATATTCAAGAAAGTCCATGCAAGTCTAGAATATGTGGCAAGTCCAGATATGAAAATGAAGAAAATCTCTGGTCTCCTTTTCATTATACCTTATGATTTTTTTTATGAACAGCATTTTAAAATATGTAAATATGTTCATTGCAGAGATTAGATATTAGTCTACCGGCCGGGGTACAATGACACACATTCAGTGAGACCACAATATAGTGGAGTTTCTTGAACTCACAGGTTTTACTGCTTTTTCAGGGAAAGGGCCTACAACATAACTGATTATGTGTTTGAATAATGCGTAAATGAACTGATGTCAACGATGAATTTCAGCAAGTTTGCGGACATGGCGTCCTCTATGGGGATGGAGAGGGACGAATTCTCCAGCCTGATGCTGACATACAACACTCAGGAGAAGGACGCCCGTCTTGCCTGGAAGTATGGTGCTTCTCGTGAGTGGTATATCGTAAACAATGGTGCACGGGATTAGTCCAGACTAACCTGGTTAACAGGACCAGAGTGAGTGAGTGAGTGTTTTGTTGTTTGACGCCGCACTCAGAAATGTTCCAGCTATATCACGGCGGTCTGCATATAATAGTGTCAAATCCAGACATTCATGAGCATCGATCTAATCAATTGGAATACCATGACGTGTCAACCAAGTCAGCGAGCCTGACCACCAGATCCCGCAAGCATGAGTTACTGAAAACCAGTTCTAACCCGGATCTTCACGGGTCGATTGCCTGATTGATTTGAGTGAGTGGGTGGGTTAGTGAGTTGGTAGTCAGAATACAGACTTGGGTGAGAGAGTTTCTTGCCTGAAAGCTGCTCCTGTGAATGATTTCAAGGAGGGTTAAAAGGAGCGAAATTACCTACCTAGCCCCACTCCAAGTGCACATAAGCCTCCGTGGTGTAGTGGGTAGAGCGTCCGCACGGAGAGCGGAAGGTCGCGGGTTCGATCCCCGGCCGCGTCAGACCAAAATACGTTAAAATATGGTACTTGTTGGTCCCATTCGTGACCAACTCGTGTTATTCCGGGACAAGCCGAATAGCGACTCGTGCCCCTCTGAAAGGATTTCATATTGGGGCATGTACATTCGAACTACTTTAAAAAAGAATGATAACTCTATCCCTGTTTGATTCCACAGTTTCTTAATATCACCGAAGCACATGTTCATTGTATTGCTAGGTTGTTGTTTTGGGGTTTTTTTTTACTTATTTATTTTAAATAATTAAACCTCTTTGATACAACTAAAATAAGGGGAAAAACATATTTGTTAGACATATTCTAATGTAATTATTACCAGCTGTTCACCTTATATTTCCAATTATGTTAATTTTCTTAATAGGGTTTATTATCACAAATGGGAATTGTTTTATTGAATATACAACAAAAACAACCCAAAAAATCAGCTACATTAAATCCCAAAGCAGATACTCAAAAATGATTTTAAAATATTTCTCAAACTGAACATTCGTGTAACCTTGCTGTCACACCCCTGGTGGAATTTCAAATGAATTCGCTGAAAAAAATATGAATGACCAAAAAACACTCAGACTAAAATATCCCCAGAGCTATGAAATATAAGCCCAATGTTAAAGATTAAGGTTGATTAGTTACATACAAATACGATATTATTGTTTTGAAACTCGTAGCGATTATAATTACATTTCCTAAAATTGGTCGAAGCGCACGTACAATCTCCATAACAAGCCCGCAAGATCGTCAGAAATACACTCAGTTGGACCCATGAGAGCAGTGATGTCAACAAACGCACGTGCGTGTATTTGAATCTCTCACCGTCAATCGCATGATTCTTATTAAAAACTTCATAATAGGCAGCAAAATCCTTTTAGCTACGTTCTTTGTACTTTCAATATGACGATATATGTTTTTTATGATTCTTTAAACAATGACATAATAATACTATAAACGATTTAAGTACTCGGGATTATTTTTATCAAAGCACCGCGCTCATTTACGCGCGTTCTGATTGGTTTGTCGTATTTTCGCGCATAGCAAGTATCGAGTGGGGGACGAGTCTTCTTGGAGGTTACGGAAAGGGGCGAGTGGTGACGAATGGACTGTGTTGGTCCCTGCCTGTCGCTCGGCATTAATGGCTACAAGGACTGGTCGGCTCGGAGTCAGTATAATGTGTCTCACTGCGGCATGGTATCTCAGTGAGCTTGCACTATAAAACCAGCTTAAGTCTGAGTTAGTACAAGCAGCCACACATACACACACATGTACCTCGACATATGAGCAAAATATTCTCAAGCACGACGTTAAACCCCATTTCACCTCACCTCACCTCACCAAGTGCACATATTGAAGCTGGTTCCAGGAAAGGCGGGGACTTGACCAAGCAATACCGTAACACGTTGTACTCATGCACTCTGGTCTTTGGCATTATAATCTGCTGTGAGTGAGTTTAGTTTTACGCTGCTTTTAGCAATATTCGAGCAATATCACGGCAGGGAACACCAGAAATGGGCTTCACACAATGTACCCATGTGGGGAATCGAACCCGGGTGTCCAGCGTGACGAACGAACGCTTTACCTCTAGGCTACCCCCACCGCCCCTAGTCTGCTACTAAAGC